AAACCCCCCCCCCCCCTTATAATAAGGGGGCCCCCAGATATCTGTCCCCACCTATGGGAATGAGTACAGTATACATTGTACTTGTTACCCATTCCAAAAAATTTTACATTGAAAAAACACCCCAGATGTAAATCCAACATCAATCATTGCTGTCTGGTTTTCTTTTTTGTTATCCTGACCTGTTATCCTGACAGCTGCGCCGCTATCAGATTAAAAAAAAAAAAAAAAAACAGCAGGAGACAGAATAGCTAGGCTGCTATTGGCTATTTCAATTTGAAATAGCAGGCTGGCTGTTGCACCCATCATTGACAGCAGCAGAGGGCGGGTGCAATAGCCAGCCTGCTCTTGGTCATTGCAAATTGAAATAGCCAATAGCAGCCTAGCTATTCATTCTTCTGCTTACTGTTATTTATTTTTTATTATTATTCTGACGGAACTTAAACAGCAGATAGCAGGGAAATAGCATTAGCTTCTCTGCTATCTGCCGTCATTTCAGGAAGGTGCCCTCTCCCCTGCCAAACCTCACCCCCAGGGGGAGAGGGCATCTTCCTGAAATGAGAAGGAAACTCATCCCTACTTATAACTGGCCCTATGCCTCCTGCTTAACTTTTTTGTTACAGTTTCCACAAGTCCGACCATATTTATTATCTAGGATGCAAATAACCCGTTTGCAGGCCATATTTAAAATCTAGGATGGATATAACCCATTATCTTTCAACAATATGCTCCTATGTGGAATTCTTTTCAATAAATAAAAAATAGTGAACCTTTTGTAATACAGTATATGTTCATTTTGTGGCCTTGACCTTTCAACACTGAAAATAAAGTTGCTGTGTAGAAATATAGACACTAGATGTCACCGTCTGCTTGGTTTATGTGCTGAGATTTTCACCTTCCCCAGCAATAAAGTCCAAGTCTGCGGGGTAATAGGTTTATTATTACCTCTCATATACTATAGCAACATACTGTATATGAATGATATAAATATATCATTGGAGCATTTCTTTCCATTTGAACTTCTGTCATGGTTTTGATTCATGAGAATAATGCTTCAAGTTGTGTCAGAGCGAGCAGTATAAGGTCTATGCCACAATGACAATTCTGCCGCTGGCGTGTACAATCAGAGAGGGAAAGATGCTAACTTTTTGAAAATCTCTCCTTGCTAGATGAGCCTCAATCACTAGCAAGGGAGCCGCAACAGAGCAATATCTTCCTGGTCGACCCGGCGAGGCAGTGACACCATAGGGGAAGGTAAGTGGACTCTAAGGGTCTGTGAAGGTTCCCATTCATCCAGGTCATTGTATATCGGGAAAA